ATCTCTGAGCATCAGTTTTCAACTAGAATAGAAGAATGCTACTAATCCTGTTGGGGTGATGGGGCCTTAAATGAGATGGCTGCTTAAAACCCAGTCTGGAGTAAGGTTCAGGTTGAGAGTTCCACACATAATGTCTCCCTACCCTTCTCTTTATCATAGAAACTCATTTCTTGTCAGGCATTTCCTCAAAGAATAACTCTATGAGAAAAGGTGTGTGTGTGTGTGTGTGTGTGTGTGTGTGTGTGTGTGTGTGTGTGTGTGTGTGTGTGTGTGATTGGAGAGGAGTAGGACTTGGGACATTAGAGTAAGGAAGGGACACAGTAGATAGGAGAAGAAGCCAGTATGCGCTCATGCATCAGGATGCTTGCTGGAAAGTGACACATGAACAAGGTCGGGGTGGAGGTTTTGACTTGTGACCTGTCAGCTGTTGGGGGGGACGACTGTGAGTACAGAAATTGGCAAAGACAGTATGTTCATGAGAAGGCTGCACTCTTCTCTAGTCTAATCAAGTCTTGACATTTGAATTTCAAACTAATTTGGGGGAAATAACTTTTCAGATTCTCATCATATAGTACTTGTTCGATATGAATAGGAATAATCACTTTGCCAAGTGATTAGCATGCTCAATAATAACTATAGACTTTCCTCCATTTTTTTTTCAACTTTCAGATAAATGTCAAATACCTTCCTTAAGGTGCATTTAATTCCCTTTTTTTCCCTTCAGAAGCATTAACAAGTGAGAAAATGAGATGAAGGTGCAGGGGAGAGCAAGGCAATGAGGGAAACAGCAAGGGGATGCCAGACTGACCAGGGAGAGTGTTCTCACCAGTCATTTTCACACACAACAAAGGAAAGTTATTAACACCAACCTCATAGGAAGAATAGGAGCAAGTGGATGTCTTTTTTCCTAGAGATTTTTGGCAGCCTGCTTCTGATAGTCTATTGCAAAAGAGGGTCGGTCCTTCATGGTAACGTGATTTCATAGCCTTTGACATCTGGCTGCCTGCAGAGACTCTTTGGCAACCTGGCTCCAACCGAAGTCCAGTTGAATGGGCCTCTTTGCCTAGCAGAGCTCCAGTGTCTTCTATTCCTAAGTAAGCATGCCACACTTACCTCAGAATACATGCCATGGGAATGTAAGAAGCCAGGCACCATAATTATCATCTATTGGGCCCTCCATCAAGGACATGAGCCTCCTTCATTTTTTTTTTTTCATTTAGTGAATTGTAACCAGAATTAGCCTTAGATGCCTGAGAGAACTCCTTAGGCAGCTATAGGCAAGGAACCTGTCTTGCGTATTATAGGTCGATGCCCAAAGCTAATGGAGTCACTTAAAGAGAATCACACAGAGTGCTTGAGTATTATTTTAACCAGAATAGCAAACTCTGAGTATTCCACACAATAGGCTCTAGTTGTCTAGTAAATCCCTACAAGGCCAGCTTAGATCCTTTGCTGCCAATTCAAAAGGAATAACTGCATTTGCATACATAATACAATGGAACCTTTCTGACAGGTTCTTTCCTCAAAGGTACTTGCAAGTCATTAGCAAAATTGATATTAAACTTGCTACCCCTCAGGCTCAGAGGTCATTGTCAAAGAGGAAACAAAAGGTTTGTGGAACCAGAAGGAGCAAAATTCTTCAGTTAATCAGTATTTTTCAGACATGACAGTGTATAAACTAATCATGGCTGAGGCTACATGCAAAAAACTACACAAGATCAAGCTAGCCCAAAATCACAGCATGGATGGGGAGAATCAAATGAAGTTGCATCCCTAGCTATTGGTGACTGGTGGCCTCTGGGAAAGGAAGATCCAGTTTTCTTCATGAATGTGTGCTCTGAGAGGTTACCCATGCTCTGGGAGATGATCCCATACCCATGCTTATACAGGCAGTATGAAGTTGACACAGTGGATCTAAGAGAAAAGTCTGGCTGTGGGTCTCTGCATCTTCTGCTGAATGAAGCCTCTCTGATGATGATAATGCTATGCTCTGGTCTATGAGTGTAGCAGAGTATCATTAGGAATCATTTATTCGACTCCCCCTGCCCAATGTGTTTGGTTTTATCCTAGGTCTCTGGGCTATCCAGCCTCTGGCTCTTGGCTCTCCAGGCAGTGTCAGGAATGGGAGCTTCCTCTCTATGGCATGAGTCCCAAGCTGAATCAGTCATTGGTTGGTCACTCCCACAATTCTGTGACTTCTTTACCCCAGTACTTCTTGCAGGCAAGACAAATTGTAGGTTGAAGATTTTATAGCTGGGTTGGTGTCTTGGACTCTCTACTGGAAGCCATGTCTGGTTACAGAAGATGGCTGGTGCAGGCTCTGTATTCCCCTCAGTAGGAGTCTTAACTAGCATCACCCTCGTAGATTCCCAGGAATTTCCATTACACTAGATTTCTACCTCACCCCTGAAATGTGGGGAATCCGGTGAAAGAGGGGGAGGAAGATAGTAGGAGCCAGAGAGGCCAAGGATACCACAAGAAAACTTACAGAATCAATCAACTATGGCTCATAGAGGCTCACAGAAACTGAAGCAACAAACATGGACCCCACCCTGTGGGGGTTTGAGCTAGATTTTCTGCATATACCTTATGGTTGTGTAGCTTGGTGTTCTTGTGGGACTCCCAACAATGGGCATGGGGGGTGTCTCTGACTCTTTTGCCTGCATTTGGGACCCCTGTCCTCCTACTGGATTGCCTCATCCAGCCTTAATATGTATCATATCTTATTGTATCTTGTTAGGCCATGGTTGGTGGACATCTCTGGGAGCTCTGCCCTTTTCTGAAGGAAAATGGGGGAGGGGTGGATCTGGGGGAGAGGGAAGATGGGTGGGGGAGGGACTGGGAGGACAAGAGGGAGGGGAAACTGTGGTCAGGATTTAATATATGAGAGAAGAATAAATTTAAAAAAAAAATAAACAGTAGCTGAGTAACTTCTTCTAACTTCCACCAAAGTTTACTGACAATCTTACTACTAAAGTGATCGGAAAAAGGAAGCCCGGTTTGGAATCCTAAGATGGAGGCGAAAGAACAGTGTTTGCATCAATGGCCAGAGCAAAGGAGAGCCAATCCTGTTTCCCACCCCCATCCCCAGACCTCCATCATACCAGACGTTTTTCTGGAGTGCTTTCCTTACAGGTTTGGCTTTTATTTTAACTGTTTCTTGAGAGTTGTAATCTATAGCCCACTAGAAACATTGCTTCTAAGAAAGGAATTTATGCTTACATTTCTCAATATAGAAGGGAAAGCTCCATAGCCAGGACTCACAATAGTCTTCTCTTGTTTATCCAAGGCCTGTCTTTTGGGAAAGATGTAGCTACCAGTGTGAGTCAGATTGAATGCCATGTACATCTCATTAGAAAATAATTCTCTTGAATGTAAAAACAAGTTTCCACTCTCTGCTGTCAGGGGCTCCTGGGAAGGCTTGCTTCTTTGCATTTTGAGAGTTGCACATAAAATCTGAGTGATTTTTTTTCTGGTTCTGATCTATACACCTCATTGTGTACTTTAATCAGCCATGTTAAGTTGTGTAAATGAAGCCTTAAGGCAATT